GCGTTCAGCAATGGCTGTTGTTGAGGAGAGAAGCACTGTATGAACTGTGTCCACTGGTGCCCTCCCTCCATGCAGCGTTCAGCAATGGCTGTTGTCGAGGAGAGAAGCAGTGTATGAACTGTGTCCACTGGTGCCCTCCCTCCATGCAGCGTTCAGCAATGGCTGTTGTTGCAGTTTTCACTGCTGTCTACTTTTAAGTAGCAAGCGTTTTTTTATTGTCTTATTTAATCATCATGAAAGAGTATTGAGAAAACTGAGGGTGCAGCAGGAGTCTCAGAGAGCGCCTGCCTGTCCTTAGAGTGGAGTCATGCAAATTCCTTACGTCGAGTTTGAGGAGATCCTACTTGGGGGATTTTAGAAATATTTCCCATCTCTCATCACAGAGAATGAGGATGTCAGGGGTGAGCTTTAAGTTAGAACCACATGTTCCTTACTCTTTAATTTTTTCTTTTTTGAGGGGTAATGATGTTTAAGGTCACATGAGGTCACACCATGTAAGGCAAACATTCTACCACTGAACTTCATCCTCTGGTATGAGTTATTCTTTCAAACAACCCCTGTGGTTACTGCCCTGTTCTAGAAATCATTGGTACATAAACAATACCACAGTAAATATGTAGGGAAAAATGCAATAATTCCCAAGCATATATTGTGAATGCTAGTTAAGCTGAATGCCAAAACCTGAAGAATGTTTATGAACTTATCACCAAATTTCAATTAAAATATAGGCATAAAATGATAAATTGACTAGTATATACTACGGATGGTCTATATAAGAAAGCATATGCCTGAACCAAGTGAAGTTATATTAGGAAACTAGAGCACCTCACTGTCACCTCCTCTGTCAATGTGGCCCTTGTTGTTAATAACTGAAGGAGAAAATATGGTGCAAATGAGACATTTAATGTCTTTGCTAACAGATAAATGGCTTACAAGAACATAACAAAAATATTTACCAATAAGGTCTAATAAATCTTTTAAATAATTAAATATGGAAATACACTTGATATGAAGCTTACTACTATAGTTAACAGTATTAAGCATTTCTTGGAGTGTATGAGCAATGAAAAAAATCTTTGCATGTAGGAAGGCATGGGCATACTTCTCTACTAATACTTCTCTACTAATCTGATAGAAATTCCAAGAAGCTTCCAAAGACTTTAATAAATAAAAACCAATATTATTATTTGGTAAACTGGGTATAATTGGCTGGTTATGGACTGTCTTAGTCACTGTTCTATTGCCGTGAAGAAACAACATGCCCAAGGCAATTTTTATATAAGAAAGCATTTGATTGGGGCTGTTTACAGTTTTAGAGGGATAGTTCGTTATCATCATGGTGAGAAGCAGACAGGCATGGCATTAAAGCAGTAGCCGTGACTTTCATATCCAGATCCACATTCAGCAGGCACAGAGAGACAGAGAGAGAGAGACAGAGAGAGACAGAGAGAGACAGAGAGACAGACTGGGCCTGGATGGGCTTTTGAAACCTCAAAGCTTGCCTCCAGTGACACACCTCCCCCAGTAAAGCCACGCCTCCCAATCCTTCCCAAACAGTTAGTTATGCTCCCTGACTGCCAAGCATTCAAACATGAGCGTCTATGGGAGTCATTCTCATCAAACCACCACACGGACATTTATACACTGGTAGCTTCTTCTTGAATAGCATTAATTAGTTGAAATAGTATTTCTCATGGAGGAATATTCAATACAATCTTTATAAATGGAAGAGTATGACTATGTTTGAACAGGAAACCAAACAGAAATTGTCTAAGTTCAACTTATAAATTGAATGTAGTTTTTAAAAAGGTCTCAAAAATTCCTTTTTATGGAAAGGGATATTAAGTATTAGATCAAATTTTAAGTTTATAAAGAAAAAATGCTGTCTAAGAATACAAGGATAGTTTTAAACATAATGATAACACTAATCTGATCAGGTATCAAAACATAACAAAAAGGGATTGCAATTAAATCTGTGTGATGTCCCAAAAATACACAGACAGAGAAGTGAGGCCTATTTGATCTGGAAGCTGACTGCAGGCCACTTGATGATTTAACATGGTTAGGACAACTTAACTCTGCAAGTAAATGATGGAGGATTTCACCAAATAAGCTTATATGGCAACTATTTACCTGGAAGAAAATCATGTCACTATCCTGTTCTATCGAGAACTACATTTCAGTAGATTAAGTGAGTAAAATTAAATAAGCTGAATGGCAACTATTTATCTGGAAGAAAATCATGTATCATCCTTTCCCATTGAGAACTATATTTCAGTAGGCTAAGTGAGTACAAATGAAGAAGTTGAAAGAGAGGATTATACAGAAGTCTGGGGCAAGGGAAATTTTCTGAAGAATGGCACTCTTAAAATTCATATATGGCTACTCATGACTTGATGATAATCTAAGATTTGTATGGAGGACCATATGGCATAAAAAAGAGAAATAGTAATAGATGTGGAAAATCATTGCAATTTGAAGCTAAGAGCTTAATCTCTATTATATGAAAATTACCATGTGAAAAATGTAGTAAAAATCTGGCAAAGAATTAAAGAGACAGGCTTCAGAGAAGTATGGCAGAAAAATCTTCCCACATTTTTTTTTGGTTAGAAACACAAACTTAGATAAGTAATATGATTACTATGTTATAAGGCTGAAACATTTTGAAGAGAGTCTTTGGCAAGGCCATAACAAAAATGTATCCTTATAAAATGCTGATGGAATGTGTTTTTCATCTTCAAAAAGTAATTTATGGGACATTTTAAAAGAAAAAGTACCTGTACATCTGCTTCAGCCATATTGTTCCTTGTTATCAACCCTAAGAATCAAAGTGCCAAGACTTACAGGTAAATGCAAATGCTCCGCTGAGTCTAACTCATCACAGCCAGTGGGAAATGTGTGCAAACGGAACTCCAGCAGGACCTCATGAAGTCTCTGTGAAAGAAGGATGCAGTGCATGTGTTAGAGCTATAAAAGGGCAAAGGCTGGAAAGACCATCTGGTTTAAAGATGCTGCAGAAGCCATTAAAAGCCCCATTTAAATATTAGTATTATTTTCTGAGGCGGATTCTGAAGTACAGGGCTGGCCTTAAATTTTCTATGTAGCTAACACAAGCTTCAAATTCCTGATCCACATGTCTCCACTTCCAAAGTGCTAGGGTTACTGGTATGAGCCACAGTACCTGGCTATCATTTCTTTTAAAATAGCCAATGATAAAGGGTGACTACGTATATGTGTTATTGTATAGGACAACTATGAATACATAGAAAGATGTAGAAGAATCCATACTATAGATGGAATGGAGGAGAGTAAATTTAAAAATTAGGAAAAAATATGAAATAAAATAAAAAAGAATAAAACAATCATGGTAATAGATTTCCTTACTTAAAACAAAAGTAAATAAATAAAATCACTTAAAAAGAAGGGTGTCTCTGCCATAGTCCTATGAAGAATGTCATCTTCATACTCGGAGGTTTCCATAATCAGGGTTGTCATGGTGAAAACTCCCCCACCCCGCCCACACACACAGGAGGGTCCACTGTGAACAAGGGGCACATGGGAGCTGGCCAGCAGGTGTGGGCCTGTGAAGGTAGGAGGACGTGCCATCAGTGACAGTCCACATGCAGTGAAATCTGTCAGTGAAAATAACCCAAGGCAGGTAAGAGAAGGACAAGAACGGCAGTCACCCTGACACTTCCTGAAGCATATGAAAACTCTTTGAACTATGGGGGAAGTTTACCTGGGCTGTTGCATATCACATAGCCTTCTTATGCTAGTAGAATCCATAAACAGTAATTCAGTCACCGGTTCAGAGTGGACCCCCCACATCATTTACCTGCTTATTAAATCACCCGATGCCTGACCAACTTGTGAGGTCTGTGAGTGAAACTGGAGCCCTGGGCTGAAAAAGCTCGCTTCTACTCTGTGCTCTTTTCCTCTACTCTGGACTCTTGGCCCTGCTCCTCTTATCTGCAAGGTTTCTTCAGCTGTTGACATTTGCCTGGTGGCTTAGCCCTTACTGTCTGCCTGGCCGTCAGTGCTGTGTCTCTCTACCCTGCAGCCCTTTGGGCACAGCTGTCTCTGTGGGCGGATGTTTGGTAAGCTCGCTGTTTGATGGTGGCGAACCCTTAAATAGCCAAATGTAGGCAGTGGGGACATGTGTCCTGTATTAGATTCCTACTAATGCTTGGCTTTGTAAAGCTGAAGTGTGATACATTGCCAAAATATTTCTTCTGTTTTGAAAGGAGCAGCAGTTAGTTATTCAAAAGCTTTCACTGCTCTGGCTAGGAATAGCTTTTAATTACCGCAAGTTTATATACACAGCGCAGTGGGAACAAAAGACAAGTCTGAAGAAACATAGGCTTCTTTGGGAGTCATGTGAATGGAATGATAATTACAACCAGGTTAGGTTAAACTGAAGTGAAAATTATCTTTAAATGAACGGAAAAGTCGTGTGCATATCAACAGAAGGTGATGGCCCATGCTGATGAGTGCCGAGGGCTATCTGTTTCCACATCACAAAGATTTTCTTTTCCTCTTGTCATGATCATGATTGTTTGAGTATCATGAACGAAGTCAAACTGTTTTTTAAAGTGTGCTCATTGAGGAAGGCTCTAAATGCTGTGCTGGCAGTGGCTTCTGTACCATGTCCTGAGGAATTCAGTGTGTGAGTATGCAAAGACATTAGTCTTGTATACTAACTATGGGCATAGCTTTGAACCCTAATGAAGATTTGCTTTTGGAAGCTGTCATAGAGATTTCTTTAACTAGACACGTGGCTTATTATTTTATACAGTTTTTTATTTTTTTATATTGCCAGTTGAGTTTTTTGAAGAAGTTATTGATAAGCACATTGTATTCAACTATAGCTTTACTCTGCTTCCTCTTAGAATTGAGGAGATTGTTTAAGCTGGTATACTTGCTTGTCGTTCTCCAATTTTAGCTGTGAGGGAATGGAATGTGCGGGGCTGCTTTCTCAGACCTCAGAACAATGGAGAACCTGGGCCTTATCTCAGAAACTCTAGTCTGTAGTTGTGGTTCATACATACACACACGTTTAAGTGTGAATCTATACATTAATATTCACGAGTGTGTGTGCATGCATGTATTTGTGTGCACGTGTGCTGTTAGGTACAGCTTTAAATTTTAAATTCAAGGCTTAAGTTCATTTACAGCTGAAAAAAGGCCAAGGTATGCTTGGAAATGTTATTCAGAGAATAACAATAATGTTCTTTGTCTCTACAAAGAACCTTTCCAGCTAATGCAGCCCCCAGGCAGGGCGTTCCTTTTGGGTGGGGCAACACTGCCTCCCTCTGCTGCTGTCCTCAGCATGCACAGGGTTACACGGCTGCATCTCCTTGCAACCTAAGAAGGTATCAGAGAAAAGACGATGCCAAGCTGGAAATGGACGATTATATTAAGAAGCATTTAGAAGCCTCACCAGGGGTTGCAAGAACCAAGATCTGAACAACATGGAGAGAAAGTGGATACATAGCAAACACTGTACCAAGAACATGTCACAGCTGGGGTCAGGGGTACACTGCTTAGCCCCCTCATAGATACCTTTACAGCCAGAAAGGCACCTTGAGAGTCCAAGATAGAGTTTAATGCCAGCGACTTTGGCCTAAGATCTGCTACAGACTGTGTGGATGTGGATCTCAGCGTCTACTGTTCTCAGGTGGAGACTTCAGTACCTGCTCTCTCAATGACTGGAAAATGTAAAACTCCTGCAATGTTGCTTTAGAATATCAGAATGCGGTGGGAATGCCAACACTGGCCACATCTGCTCCATGTTTTGCACTCAGAGGTTCATTTTGAGTGACACTGTGTATGTCTAAGAGAAGACTTGATGGTACCAGGCACCATGAGGTTCACTGTCCTTGCCATGTGCCTTTTGGTCCAACATCTCATCTGTGCTCTTATTGGGTGACCTGCAGCTGGGACATGTCTGTAAGATGCTCCGGGGCTGGGTCACTTGAACACATGTGAAGAACAATGAACAAAAGCCCATTCCTCTGCCTTCTGATACTGTGACATCCGCTTCCTGAGTCTCTTTGTTTCCGAAGGGGAGGAAAACTGTAAAGTGTGAACACTGTACACAGCTATGTCCACACGTTCCACTGTAAGCAAGCCATCTTGATTCCGTGTTCTCATTTCTGTCCCGTTATAATGGGCAATATGTCTCTGTCTCCTCAAATGACTTATGAGAAAGAATGAGAAGACCACAATAAATCCCTCTTACATGTGCTGTACTGACAAGAAAGTCACCCTGTTCCTCTTTCTGTCCCAGTCACCATCCAATTTGGTATTTGAGATGTGATTCATAGGGCACCAAATCAAAGGTCTTTGTAGAATCCTTTGACCTTGGACACGGCAAAAAGTAAAAACAGTGAGAAAATAATTGTCTATGCTTCATGTAGGCTTTCTCTGCTTTAAAAAATGTTAGGAAGGGGAAAAAGATTAGCTGAATGGTTCCTCTATTGCTCAACCTCCTGAAATTCATGAATGGCTAACTAGATTAGGTTATTGGAAGCAACATCTGAGAACATCACCATCTCCCAAATATGCAAAAAGTCTGCCCTTCCACACCCTACAGATGAACCAGTGAGACTCCCAGAAACATCAAAGATCAATAAAAGAAAGGCATAATACCATTATTGATTACACATTGGGCAGTGTACAAGAGGTGGTAATTAATGAATGGTAGAGTTAAGGGGAAGGTAAATTCTTTTACAATCATGTACTTACTTAATTCTGTTTGGAGCCTTACAAAAATAAAGATCAAATAACTGACTTGCAACATAACAGATAAGAAATAATTTGTACATACAGTATTGCATTTGATTCCCATGCCATCCCCATTATTTCAGTACGTAAATAGAACTGGAAGCCAAATTTAATTTGCTAAAGATCATATTTAATTGTGGTCAGAGTTCAATTCTGAAGGTTATTGGTGCCCACCCATGGTTTGCTGAGTGACAGAAGCAAAGCTTAGGTATCGATGAGCTAAGTGACATCTGAGAGAATTTCAGACAAGATGACAAGTGATCAAGAGATCTTATTCCAGGAAGCAGATGCCAGGATAACATCGGAGAAGTGTGAGACAAGAGCTGAGTAGTCCAGGGCCACTTCCCCAAAGGGCTTTCCAGAAGCTGTGTTTGCTGCATTAGGGTTTAGTTGTATCACGGTTTGAAAATGCCTTTAACTATTATTCTATACAAAATGTGGCTATGTATTAACTATAAAGACGCCACATATATCTGGCTCTTTTCTGTCAAGTTGATTTTCATTATGATTAATTTGGTATAGTTGGAAAATCCATGTGGAAAAATCTAAGCAGTCATTTGGAAGTAGACACAGGGAACAAAGAGACAGCAAGAAGACTTGTCTTGTTTTCTAGAAACATTTATCTAACAGTTGCATAAGTGATTAGGTCTACTCCCCATGGCACACGCCCCCCCCCCCCCCGTGCCCCAACATATACAGCAAAAGGTCACATGTGGCCATTGCTGATGCCCTTTCAGCTGTGTGTGAGACGATACCATCAGAGGCCCAGGGTCCTCTTTCCTAGTCGATCCTCTAATGTCCTTGACCTCCAGTCCTCCTTTCCTACCCTTGCATGGGCGCAAGATGGATGCTGCGCTCTAGGGCTTTGTGTTTGCTTATCTAACCTAGGAGGTCACAAAGAAAGGACTCCATCCACTGCACCTCTACTAAAGAACACAAGCTCTCCCCGACCCTTTCTTGAGTCTCATTGGCCAGGTCTGTGCCCTATGCGCCTGTTCTTCCTCTCTATACTGGGATGTGTGGAAAAGGAGCAAGTTGGGATGATTTTTGGATTAAGTAACAGTGAATTTGAAATAACGATGGGGAGACAGGCTTACAGAAGTGATCATGGGAAACGAAGAAAGACTTTAAAAAATAGATTGAGAAAATAGTCCAAATATAGACTAGAGTCTTGGAACATGCTGGCATAGTGGGAGTTAGGGATGGTCAGGCTCTGTTACAAAGAGAAAGCATGATAAGAAAAACAGGAATGAGACAGAGGTAGCACATGTGGAAACCAACGTAGAAGAGAGCTTTAGGATGGAGACAAAGGGCTGCCAGATCTACAGAGATACCAGGAAGATGAAAAACACTGACAACTTGGAAAATCCTTAAAGTAACTGAGAACATACTGGGCTGTCTAGTTCAGCCTCCATTTTAGGGTATGTGCCTAGTCTTATTGCATCTTGTTATGCCGTGTTTGGTTGCTAGCCCCGGCTCTTCTTTGGAGGGAAATGGAGAAGGATGTGGGAGAGAAGGTAGGTGCCTGGGAGAGCTGGGCGGAGTGGAGGGAGGGGAAACCGCAGTCTGGGTGCAAGGTATTAGAGAATCCTACTACTGCTGCTACTGCTACTGGAGTATACTGTTGCTAGAGAATACTACTACCAAAGAGTATTACTACTACTCCTATCACTCCTCCTCCTCCTCCTACTACTACTACTACTAATAATAATAATAATAGAATAGCTGAGGAATTAAAGAGAGAGAAGAGACCATCAAAGCTGAATCACAAACAGAACTGGAAGGACTGGGTGTCGGTGAGTGGATGGAAAGACGGTCATCTTAGCTTGGACTGATCATATCTATTCGTGAGTTGTAGGCCACTGCAGCAACTTGGGCTGAGTTCCTGTCAGTCTTGGAGTAGTGAGCAATAGGATTCTAGAAGACAGAGCTAGAGTCTCTAAGTAAATGTTTTAGACAAAATACCATGTTTTACTTTGTATACTTTAATTTGCAAACTTTCTTATGCAACATTATTTATGCTTCAATTCCTTCTTTGGCTCAATCTACCAAGTGGAAAATAATAGTCTCCACACTATTTGAATTCCAAGTGGGGAAATTATTTTCCATGATGCCTTTGGAAATTGAAGGTGGGGGTAAATTACTTTTCATGAAGAGTGTCATTATGGCTTCTTTTTTTTTTTTTTTTTTTTGGTTTTTCGAGACAGGGTTTCTCTGCGTAGCTTTGCGCCTTTCCTGGAGCTCACTTGGTAGCCCAGGCTGGCCTCGAACTCACAGAGATCCGCCTGGCTCTGCCTCCCGAGTGCTGGGATTAAAGGCGTGCGCCACCACCGCCCGGCCCCATTATGGCTTCTTAAGGCAAGAGGAGATCTGTGCTGTCTGGCTATCTCTTACTAGGTACAGCATGGTCAACAAACATTTTTCTGACTAGTTTGACAAAAACAAGGATTCAAAGTAAACATGATTAAAACCTTCTGTGGAAGAATAGAAGGAAGACTGTGAAAGAAATGGCATTCAGTCGTGGGAGAGGTGCTGTTTCCTTGAACCAGCTCAGCCACACTGCAGTATGGAAAGCTCCCCATTTTATTACAAATCAACTTCTTTGTTTCTTGTCCTTGAAAATGTTTACTTAGGTAAGATTCCCTGATAAATCCAGAGAACTCACAAAAGTTAATGTTAACATGAAAATGTACCATTGTTGGAAGCGACATTATCGTTAGCTTGTGCCCTGAGGTTTATGTAGCTAGAGTTTTCCTGCCTTGCCCACAGTCAGGACAAATCTTTGTCACCCGCCAGTCCCACAGCCGCTCAGACCCAACCAAGTAAACACAGAGACTTATATTGCTTACAAACTGTATGGCCGTGGCAGGCTTCTTACTAACTGTTCTTATAGCTTAAATTAATCCATTTCCATAAATCTATACCTTGCCACGTGGCTGGTGGCTTACCGGCGTCTTCACATGCTGCTGGTCATGGCGGCGGTTCGCAGTGTCTCTCCGCCTCAGCCTTCCGCTTCCCAGAATCCTCCTCTCTCCTTGTCCCACCTACTTCCTGCCTGGCCACTGGCCAATCAGTATTTTATTTATTGACCAATCAGAGCAACAGATTTGACATACAGACCATCCCACAGCAGGTTTATATCCAGGCTCTGCTTTCTGCTTCTGTAGCATGGGCCAGTTACTTAATGTGTCTCTATTTTTATTTACGAATAGTCGGGATAATTTTGTAAGGGCAGAGTGAGATCATCACTGCAAAACTTCTCACAGTGTGCCTGACACACAGTCACTGTTGCTCTTCCTGGAGGCCTTCATCCTCTGTAATTCAAACAATTATTCCATTTGCTCATTTGAGTAGGGCAGGACAAGTGTTCCCTGCACATGTAGAGGTCAGAGGATAACTTGCCAGGTCTGGTTTTCACCTTCTGTCAGGTAGTTCCAGGTTAGACAGAGGGCATCAAGCTTGGCAGCAAGAGTCTTTACCCTCTGAGCCATCTCACTGGCCTCTCGTTCTATAATCTTTACTTGTACCTTCATTCTATAATTAACATTAGAATGATTTTTGTCTCACTTTTGTTTGTTTTAACAATAACCAGGGAAAATTTCTTACTCAAGAGTATGATCAAAGACAGCCTTTCTCGAATGACTCTTACCTGGCATACTTGTGTTATGTGTTATTATTTGTATTAATCTCAGTTTTCACTATCTTTCCCAAGCTAGTTTCAAACTCATGAGTTTAAGTAAGCCTCCCTCCAACTTCAACTTCAGTCTCACAAGTACCTATTAGCTGGAACTACAGGCATTTGCTACCATGCCCAACTATTTATATTTTAATCATCCTTATACTGATGATCATTAATAGCAAATTTTTCATACACTGTGCTCTATCACATATCAACTAAACAGAGGTGCTGTGGGAAAACTCCCAACTACACAGAGGCATGATGGGATATCAAGCCATCTGGTATTCTCTAGCACGTTTGTTCACTTAACCTCTCTATACTATCTCAACAGAAGATAGCACAGCCGCTTATAAAATAATCACTCAGAGGCTTGTATTAATTACCAACTGTATGGCCTATGGCAAGCTTCTTGCTAGCTAGCTCTTTCATCTTAAATTAACCTAGAACTATTAATCTATGTATCACCACATGTTCCATGGCTTTACCAGCTTCCTATCACATGTTGCTCCTTGGACAGCTGTTTGGCATCCCCCCCCCCCACACACACACACTCTTTTCTCCTCTTACTATCTCTCTTGGATTTTCCCACCTCTGCCTCCATCCTGCCCTGCAATAGGCCAGTGCAGCTTTATTTATTAGCCAATGGGAGCAACAATATTCACAGCATACATAAAGACATCCCATAGGAAGATACATTTGACTCATCCTCATTTTCTAGATTAAGAGACTGAAGCAGAGACATAGAAATAAATAATTTGTCCTACCATCATAAAGCCAGTTAAGGTTTGAACAGCTGCTCAGCTCCAGAACCTGTGCACTTGACCTTCATGCTCTAACATGACAGTAAGCACCATGCTAAATCAAATGCATTGTACTTGTGTATCTGTCGATTTTCCCACACAAGTGTTTTTACTTATGCATTTTAAGCCTCAATGGGAACAACTCCAATTGTTTCACAAAAATATGTTTTTCTGTAAGTATTTGAGATTTATTCTCTCAAGTTTTCAGAACTTTAAAAGGTCAAAGGTTGCTAATTCTATTCATGTTTTCACCTTTGGCTCTAAGAAAGGGCACTGATCTGTTAGATATAGATGCAAAAATAGAAGCTATGACACACGTGGCCTTGGCTCTTCAGTCAGGCTCATTCCACTAAGGCACACCACATAGAGTCAGACATTCAAAATAGTAGTGGCAAGAGTCAGCAGCTATTTGGGAATGAGCCCTGTTCTGGTACAGAAAAGGGATGACTCAGTTTAAAACTATTTCTCTTTCGTGTCCAGATGCCCTTATGTGTGTGTACATCTGCATTCATTTTTTTGGTAGGTGGAGCAGAAGATAAGTTCTTGGTTCAGAGTGTGAAAAACTAAGTAAGCAATTGGGAGGTTCTGTGCAGTGGCTCAGAAGGGAGGGATGGGGTAGTGAGCACACCAGGGCTGCTGCTTCTGGCCTGACACTGAGCTCACTGATTCTCCCCACAGAGGGAGGACTCCCGAGCACTGTAGGCAGTGCTCATCAACTCTGCTCTTTATTCTCCTTCTGAGGCACACATTCCCAGTAGAGGTCAGAAACCACACTGGAAATGTCTTTAGGACTTAGTGAGGGGGGCCTGCCTGGCAGTCACCTCTGTCCCATATTCTTAAAACATTTCTATGGCGGAACCAATGACAGCTCCTATTTTCTGCCTATCTTAGTCCTACCATTTTTTATGCATTGAATTATGTTGTATAGCTCTTATAATTTGGAAATTACCAAGTCTGACCTACATTTTATTATTAGTGCCCTTTGTGTTAAAGGAAGGTTTGAGAGCTCTACCCACACTGCATGGGGATTTAGTGCACGGGTCACTGTGCCTCAGCATGGGAGGTTGGGGTGGGGTTTCAAAGCAACTGCTGTGCAAAGTCCCAGGCTGGGAACTACCATAAAGATAGACACTGAGGGTTAATAAATAGGTTTGAATATTGACCAGGTGTCTGCATTCTTAACCCTTTAACTTCCTAAATGCTATCATTTTGTAAGCTACCATTGTGTGCCTACTGGTATATCACAGAGTTCTGTCTCAAGTTTCCTAGACATGTGGCTTAAGAGACCAGTTGGGAGTCTATCTGATCCTGATTGAAGGTTTTGGTTTTCTCACTCTGGAAATACTATCAAGGGAATCTTTCCTTGGGATATGATGAAGAATCTCATCAATTATTTGAGAAGAATTAAGGAGAGGAACAACAAAGAAGAAATGAACATAAAGCAAAAAAAAAAAAAATGGACCTGGTGTGTAGGTACCAGTATCTAGTGTGGACAGATGTGGATGACTGCACATAGTAGGTGTGCAGGCAACTTCTAGGTTTTCTTTTGTCATCCCTCCTCCTTCTCCCCTGGCTTTTCCTCCCCCTCCTCCTCTCTCACTCCTGCTTTGGAGAAATGTTCAAGAGCTCCACCCTACATCTATGCCTCTTTCTACATGTAATGCTTGCTTCTGCCTCTGTGCCCCATTGGGGAGGCACCTCTCAATCCTTCTCATTGTTTTTTCTGTTTCTACACTGTTTGTATAAAATGCATCTTAGCAGTTCCCATTGAATAGGTGGAAAATTATGTTCTTTGTGCACAGTCATAGCTGCATGGCATGCCTTTGAAGAACTTTTTGTATATTTTCTTGCTCTTTAGTTTCAATGTCCTTTATATTGTATGTATTTTGGAAGAACGAAGAGTTTGCTCAATTGCTTTTTTTGGTAAATGGTGATATTCTATGTAGATTTCAGTTGTTACACATATTAAAGGGGGAAAGACACCATAGTGGTTTAAATGAATTGGCCCCCATTAACTCCCATGTTTGAATGCTTGGTCTATAGAGAATAACACTATCAGGAGGTGTGGCCTTGCTGGAGGTGTGTCAATGTGGGGGTGGGATTTGAGGTCTTATATGTTCAAGTGGTGCCCAATGTGGAAGACAGTTCACTACCTGTTTCCTGAGGATCAAGATATAGAACTTTCACATACTTCTTCAGCACCATGTCTGCCTGTATACTGCCTTGCTTCCTGCCATGCTGATAATGGGCTAAATCTCTGAAGCTCTAAGTCAGCCACAATTAAATGTTTTCCTTTGTAAGGGTTGCCATGGTCATGGTGTCTCTTCACAGCAACAGAAACCCTACTAAGACAGACACTATTATTCATATTTCATGACTATAGGACTAAGAATACTATAAGAAAAACTGCACAGTGAATAATAGAAATGAAAAATTATTGCTTGGTTTTAAAGACATTGTATTCACATTTTAAAAATTATCTGTGTTGGTTTGTGCTTTAGTTTTTAGCTAGTAAACAGAATAGCATGTATTTGTTTTATTTGGTGTGATGCTTTGATGTGTCCGCCTATTGTAGAATGTGAAAATGACATACTTTCATTCAATATTTGAACAACAGAAAAAGAGACTCATTACTTGACATCAAACCATTTATTATAACTTTATTTGATGCTTCAAGTTAGAAGACATATATATGACAATAATAATCTGTGTTCATCACAGTAATGAAGGCACTGGCTTTGTTTTGGAGTGTTATCGTAGATTTGCAGACAATTCTGTTGTTTAATCCCTGAGACTTTACTAACTACATAGGCCACATATAAGTCATGCCAGTCAAAAGTGAGCTTTCATATTTGTGAATGTCTTAGTACAGAGATATTGGAAGTACAACACTTATTAGGACTTTTATTGTTTACTTACAAAGCCTAGCAAGTAATACTTCCAACACTTCTTTTCAATAGTTTAGCATCATTAACCAAAAATTAAATTCTTAAAAAATTCATTATCTTTCTACCTCCAAGAACAGATTGCAACTTGTCCAGATACACAAACTATATACATCATCATAGCAGGGTAAGGTAGCTCAGCCTACTGCAGTTATAGAGCCATAGCCAGAGGGAACACTCTCTCAGCTTTGAGCCTAACACACCTATTGTGACTCCTTAGGAATGGTGACTTGTGTGTCAATTTGGCACATTAAAGGATGATGTTAATGCAATGCCTGGCATCAGGCAAATGCAATTTTGAGCCTTGGCTCCAGAGTTCTGATTCTGTGATCTTGGGCAAATTTGACATCACTAAGGCTCCAGTTTCTCTTCTTTGAAGTGGGGGCAGTAATAAATTATTCTTCATCCACTGTAAGTAATAAATAATAAGTAGTCACATGGAGCCCTGGGCAGAATTCCTGATATACCATTGGTTCTATACATGTAATTGTCTCTATTGCTCTTGTCTAACATCTGATGACATCTAATAGGTAAAAGCTGGTTTAGAAAGTTAGGGACATTC